ACTATTCCTGATCAATGGATGGATCACTCGTTAGCTGCTTCCACGATCACGCTTAGCCTCTGCACGGGTGCAAGATCACGGGCGACACCCTTGTAGCCAACTCCGTTCCTCGCCTTCCCCACCGTCTCGCCGCCGCCGCCACGCGCCGCCTTGCGCGCGTCCTTGTACCCGCCGCGCACGGGGTAACTCTTCCATTCGCCGTGCGCGTCTGCGCTCACGATGACGACGAGCGGCGCGACTCGTCCCGTGGCCTGCCACCGCTGCTGCCTGCTGGTGCTGGCCTCGCTTCTGCCCAGCGATGACGACGGCACGCTGCCGGCTGCCGCGGCCACGTCCGCGGCGGCGACGACCGGCGCTGTCCCAAGAGCCGCGCAGGCCTTGACGGCGAGCGCGGCCATGTCCTGGGCGGACAGCGGCCGGTCGAGCATGGACGTTGGCAGGGCGAAGTAGAGCTGCCCGGGACGGAGCGCGTCGTGCGCGGCCAGCGCGGTGACGGGCGCGTCGAAGTCCAGCGCGTCGGAGCAGCAGAGGAAGCGCGGCGGCGACGACGGCGGCGCTGCTCCGCCCCCGCCGGCGGTGGCAGTGGCGGACAGGGCCTCGTGCGCCGTGACGGGCGCCGCGAACTGCGCCATGGAGCCGTCGAGGTCCACGACCTTGGCCGTGAGCGCGTGCACGGACACGGACTCCGCCGCCGTTGACGTCGCCGCGGCACCAGAGCGGGAGACGCACGAACCCATTGATCTTCTTCTTCTCTTGCGATCTCTATTTCTGTGTGTCGGAGACGGAGAGGAATAGAGGATGTATATATGGTGAATTCGTGAATCGTGATGGAGCGGAGTCGAAACGGATACGGGCGAGTGCGGCGGCGCCTGCTACTTTTATAGAGGGAGGTGCTTGGAGTCTTGGAGAGTGGAGCGCAAGGCACGACATCGACATCTGCTCCGGCGATGCGATGACCGGATGACGTACGTGAGCTCGTCACCGCGCGAGCGAGGACGAAGGACTGATAGGAGCACCGCAGCTCTCAGCTGGAGAGGTCAAGTCAAAGTGTAGCCAGGGACGACGATAGATCTTCCGGCGGCACTTGCGTCCTCTTTCTCCGAGCAGTACGGCCGCGGGAAAGGAAAGGACGAATTGGCAGGTGAATGGAAGGAGCTCGGCTCGCTGACTGTCTGAAAGTGAAAGGTACAGGTCGTGTGCGGTGGTGCGCCAAAGGCGGCTTCGAATCGTCACGGCTAGCGTCACGAGACTTGGAGTTTGCGACGTTCGGACTTCGGAGGTCGAGGCTCCGTGCGTGCTCGCGGACTACAAACACATTAACGGTTTCTGACTTCGTCCTCTCACGGAAGATGAGACAAGGACAAGGTCTACTGAACCTAGCAGCACGACATGTATGTTGACATGTTGCATTGTATTAACTTCAATAAATTAAATGTACGGCTTTGAAAATATTTGTATGAGATAACCGGTTATGTATTGTAGATGAATAGGCTAGGCTATAAAAATATTTTTGTGCGCAGGTTGGTCTAGAGAAATTTCGCTCTCCCACAGGTGAGATTCTTTGGGGGCTACTCGTGCAAAACAAAATTCAGAGCAGAGATAACCTCAAGAAGAAAACAATCGTGGGGGATGCGTGGTGCGAGCTCTGCGGGGCAGGGGAGGAATATGTGGTTAATATAGTAGGTGGGGACTTTTCTTCCCTGTCGTTCCGCTAAAAAGAATATGTGTGCCGTTACACTAAGTAAAACACTAGTGGGTAACCCCGCGCTTCGCACGGGCTGCAAGCTGACCATTTTCACGCTATAGAACAGATTTACATGCAGCAACAAAGACCTATATGTCAGCCAATTATGATTCCAACGTAACATGTAGCCGTCTTGCAGGAAGTGGATAAATTAACTAATAGTTTATCCAAAAAATATTAACAAAATGAACTAATATGAATTGTGTAAGGGTACGTATCATACTTTGTACATTGAAACTAGGAGTGGAAAAGTAAGAAGTATTTGTGCAACAATGGACAATTGTTGATGGTTGGAAAATAGTAATCTTGCATAGGTGGTCAACCAAAAACGACGGAAATGTGTTGTAGCTTGCACGTCAAGCAATTGATCCGTGTGTACACATCCAAACCTGATAGTAAAAGTAAATGTGGTTAACAAACAGAGTGTTGTACTGTTAAATAATAAACAGAGTGTTGTACTGATAAATATTTTGTTGGATAAACGGGATGGGAATTATTACCTGGTAACAAAAGGGCGCTGTAGTGGTATGGATCCTGGAGCCAACAACATTATATATAGAGGGCCGATAACCTATGTGGCCCTTATTATGACAATGTATTACCACTTTTATCATGTCTTTGTCCAATGGCAATCACTTGAGTTGATGGTCACAAAATACAACATGTTCATTCATCACTTTCAGGGCCATCTCTCTCTGGAAGCTCTGAACACGGGCAAAAGCTCTGAACACGACCACATGACGATGAGAGCAATGGAGAATACATACTGCATAGATGCCTGAATGGTTTTGGCTACCTATCAACTTGCAAGCACTAAGGTCAGACTAAGTAAGGGAAATCTCTGCTCTCAATCTGATTTGCACCAATCTATCAACAATGCACCCACTTTTGCCACTTGACTCATGGCCCATTAATACAGATTCTACAACATTACCCACGCCTTGTTTAGATGCCATCCAAATTCCAAGTTTTTTCACTCTCTCTCCATCACATCAATTTTTAGCCGCTTGCATGGAGTATTAAATGTAGGTAAAAAAATAACTAATTACACAGTTTAGTTGGAAATCACGAGATGAATCTTTTGAGCCTAGTTGGTCCACGATTGGACAATATTTGCCAAATAAAACGAAAGTGGTACTATTCATCGGGTTCAATTTTTTTGCAAAGTGAACGAGGCCCCAATGTAACTTCCAGTGGAGTCCATCATATCATAATCCGTTAAAGATCGAAAGAGGTACCAACAACCTTGTAGAGTTAGAATACATGTAACATTAGGGTAGGTAATTAAGAGTAAATGAGATAGTTGAAACTTTAAAGTTCAGTCTGAAGAAAAGAGCGCGATATGATTTGAACAATGAGTGGGAGGTGACAGAGATTAAATCCTCACCAGATAAATAAGCTCTCCATTTAGAAGTGCACAAAATAACCTGCACACATCGATACATGCAATTTGAGGTGGCATCCAAATAATGAAATGGTAATATGTGTGGCACCTTTGTGTAATGAAATAACACAGCCACCATTCAAAAAGAGCATCTCGTTGTAGAAGGCAATGACCCAATCTGGGGAGGAGCGCATCGGCGGTTCCAGAAACCTGCTGCGTGGCCGTCGTCTGATGGTGCCGTGAGTACGAACCGGAAGGCTGAACGGTTGGGATTCAATCACTGTATATGAACAGGAAGATGAGTCTTGCATGCGGGTGACTACTATTGATCAACAGTGTCGATCACTACGTTTAAAGACTTTTATAGATCTATAGATGTCTCAGCTTAAAATAATGTACCATGACTGAAAAAACACTGTTTACTGAAAAACTAGGCTGAAAAGTATTGTTCACTGATTTGTTGTGAGAGAAAAATCAGTATCATAACTGATAAGCCAGACTGATAAATTTAAACGAACACGCCATGCTGAAGAATAACTTACCTATTCTCGTGTCCTTGGAAGATACCTGGTAAATTCCTTTTGCCTCTAAACACTGGTACATAGACGATTCGTAAAGGTGGTAGAATTTGATCTTTATTAGAGGTGGTTTCATCCACCGGTGTGAAAAGGCCAATAAAATAGCACATTTACACTAACCTCACTTTAAACACCGGTAGTGCTGGCGAAAGGCGGGAGGTTTTAAGATAACCACCTTTAAAAATGTTTTTCTCACCAAGTCATCTATTTCACCATATTTGAACTATTACTTATTTGCAGACAGTTTCATGTACGTTACACAAACAACTATTAGGAAAATTCAAGTCTGATTTTGGATTTCCGTATGTCCTTAACTTCACCTAAGATCGGGTCTACATTTATAGGGTTACCGCTATAAAAATCGGATGCCCTTACCCATAAGCATGCACACTTAAAATACATATCGGCTTGTTCGGCTTACCCCATATTCGACTTGTTCGGATTCTTTTTTTCAGCCGCAACAGTGCTTTTTCTCTTACAACAATTCAGCCGGAACAGTGTTTTTTAGTCAGTTTCAGCCAAGTTTCAGACCAGCGAACGGGGCCTTGCTAAATGCCTAAATCCCTATAGATATCTATGGAAGACTAGATCTGGAAAACGTGAGATTGATGAGGTTTATAACAAGCATCTTGCTATTGGTGAGAGTGACACCTACAACTGGAAGAAATACATCGGTATCAAACCTGGGGCTTGATAGTAGGTAACCTCCACTGACCACTGCTGAAGCTATTGCTTTATAATTTGACCGGCATCAGAAGAAGTCTTCAATGTGGAATGGTCATCCATATTTCTGGATCTCTTATCATTCACGCATGCTCGAGGCGTCCAGTAATATAATATAATAGTACAGTAGTTTCGTTTCTTCAAAAAAGTTAGTGCAGTAGTATCCACCTAACCGTCCTAACGGGAGCGCGAGTGCAACACAGCAGCGTGGACGAATTCAAGTGACGACTGAATATAATGGCGAACTTGCCTTGCACTACATCAACGAGGTGCATTGTAAACTTGTAATTATCACGTTGTTGATCCATGGGTCTCCATAACCCAAATTACCATGCATGTTACACACAAACGAATGGGAGTGTAGCCTGTACGCTGTACGCACTATATACATTGACGTTCATGTTGGCTTTGATCTCCTCCTATCTTGAAACGGAGGAGCCAGGCATTGCCTGGCCCGTTATCAAAGCTTGATCCATCGGTACGGTTGTGGCACCGACCATGCAGTGCACCAAGGATAAAAACAGCTGAGCCGATATACGGATGGATCACTCGCCGTCTTCCGCGATAGCGCTTAACCTCTGCACGGCGGCACGATGGCGAGAACCGCCTGTTCTGTAACCAGCAGCTCCCTTTCTTGTCCCCCCACCACCGTGCGTTCACCTTCCTGAACCGCCGGACGCGCCGTGTACCCACCATCAGGCGGGCTCTCTCTGCTCACGGCGACCAGAAGCGGAGCCACTCGCGCCGTCGCCTGCCGCCGCCGCCGCCGCTTGCCCGCCGCCGTCGTCCCGCCCTGTTTATCTCGCCGCGGCGACAAGCCCGCCGCGGCCGCGAGCGCCGTGGCGGCCCTGACGGCGAGCGCGGCCATGTCCTTGGCGGCCAGCGGGCGGCGCAGCGCGGAGGCGGGGAGCACGAAGTAGAGCTGCCCGGGCTGGAGCGCCTCGCCCGCGGCCAGCGCGCGCGGGGGCGCGTCGTAGCCCAGCTCGTCGGCGCTGCAGAGGAAGACCCGCGGCGGCGGCGACGAGACGCGGTGGTGGCGCTGGCGCCCGCCGCCGCCGTCGCCCGGTGCCAGCGCCTCGCGCGCCGTGACCGGCCCCGCCAGCTGCGCCATGGAGCCGTCCAGGTTCACTACCTTGACCGTGGCCGCCGCGGTTCGCTGGGAGTGGGACGCCTCTGCTGTTGACGGCGCCGGCGGCGAGCGCGAGAGCGAGACGCAGGCGCCCATTTCTTGCTCGTGGTGTGTTTGTCTTGTTTCTGTGGATCGATCCGTCTGGCTAGGTGGGTTGGTTGGTCTCGGGGTCTTGGTCGCGCCGGTTCGGGCAAGTGCTGCTGCACGAGTGGTGGTGTTGGTTTTATAGGGACACTGATTCGCGTGGTCGAGCGATGACGCAGGCCAATTCGTCACGCTGTGTCGCTGTCGGTGTCGATGGCGACAGGGAGATCTTGCACAGCACTCCCTCCATGCCCACAGGCCGCAGCTGAGTTTGGTCCGTCAAAGCGACCACTGATGCACCGTGCTCGTGCGGTCGTGCCCCCCTGCCGTAGTTGCTACTAGGACGATTGGGACAGGAGCAGCAGGACAGCAGGTTCGCCCGCCAAATGCCCACAAATGGCAGCTTGGTACCGATCGTTATGTGGTGACAGCGACGGACCTGTCATCCACCCGATCTCCACCACCGTTCGCGTTCAGTGTCACGCCTGACGCATTCGCTGGGAGTGCCGAGTGCACGTGCATGTGCGGCGGCTATACATTCAATATTCTATCTACTCAATTCAATCGTCACGGCTCGCGGCAGCAGACGCCCGGTCAACCCTTCAGAGTGATGAGATACACGTACAAGTACGAGGACGATGAGGACAAGACGGAGCAACCAGACCGTGCTGACGAGTGACGAGCACGGAAATTTGTGGTGGTTCAACAATTTTCATCTGTCGGGAACAGGGGAGTCGTGCAGAGCCTCATGGCGGTTCGTTCGGATGGGCTCAGAAGGCCTTACATATCTTAATGGGCCGCCTTTAAATGCCAATAGGACGTGTAATCCATCCTGTTTTGCTTTGTGTGCCTGGTGCCCTGGTTGGCTGGTTGCCATTAATCAGCATAGAGCGTGAGTACCACATCGCGACGCGAGGGAGACCGACCTGCTGATACTTACATAGAACAAGGGTCACTGTGCCAAGAAAACCCATACCTTTCACAGTTTTTTTGGTTAAGATAAGATCGGTACTATCACTATTTAGTGCTTGAGTTGAAATACGTAGCACATTCTATTTTTCGTGGGAAAAAACTTGTTCAAGTAGCTTGCTACCGGGTCCTATTGTCAGCCCTAGTGGTGCACTATTGCATGGGCTTGGCACATCTCAACCAAATCAATCAATATTGTCTTCCCAATAATGTCATGGAGCTCTTTTTCTTTTGGATAATAACTAAGACAATTAACCATCAGGTCGCATGGTAATTTTAGTCTGATTTGCGGGCCAAGAGTAGCCGGCGCCGCATCGGTTGCTCTGCACTTCTCTGCGGGCAAAACGGCCGCAGCCTGAGCGGAAGTGCTGGACGGAGCGGCTGAAACGTGGAAAAGGCCGGGGTTGGAGAGCAGGCCCGTTAGGCATTTCTCTAGTGGTCTGAATGCAAGCCCAATATAACAGTTGTCTCCTTTTTTTCAGTACTGGAGCAGCATTGCAGCGGTTGAAAATGGCACGACACTTTGCACTCGATGACTCAAAATGCGTGTTACTGTCCATTCCACTAATAATTTGAAATCCAATTACAGTCCGTGTACTCCCTATAGGATATATGCAGGTTAAACTTTCTTAACTTTGATTAGGTGCAACATTTATATTTCTAAATAAGTTTATTATAAAAGCATTACGATCTATCTAATTATACTAATTTTTTATTATAAATATTAATATTCTTTTATATATAATTGGTCAAAGTTTAAAAAAGTTGACTTCTCGGAAAACGAAACCGACTTGTATTTTGGGGCTAGTTTGGTTACCATCAGCTTATAGGTGCCCAAGAAGAAAAATTAAAACAAGTTTGTCGAGCACAGTTTATATAGGATAGCTGTCCTATAAGTTTAGATGTTTGCTAACCACTAGAGCTTATATAATCTGGATTATAGCTGAGATAAAGTCAGATTATAGTATAAGCTGTGGGGGTAAACAATCAGGTCCCAAAGAAACTGCGAAAATCTTCGCTTGTCGTGGCTGAAGGTTTAGTAACCACATTTGATGAATGCCACAAGAACCAACTCTTTTTTAACAATCTGCTAGCTATTGTAATAATGCATAGCGAAAAAACGTCTTTTGATGTCTCGACTCTTTATAGAAAAAGGAAAATTTATTCTAGTCTTGCAAGAGTTTTGACTAAGCCAATACATTGAGCCCCCGGCAAGATTTGAGGAGCTCACAAAAAGCAAATAAAAACAGAGACCAACAAACTAAGCACTATGTCTATTAAAAGACAACCACTTATTCTCGGAGGAGATCTCTGTTGACGTAGTTTCCAACATTTGACATGTCCATTTTACTGCAGGTCTTTTTTTCCTCTTTCTATAGAATGGACCATGAATGATCCAGTGATTAGTCCGGAAAATAACCTGTAAATAAGAGTGAAGTACTTTACGATTTGAAATTGCAAAGTAGGGTCCAATAGGCTTCGATTTGGCTTCAAGCAGGTTATAGGCACTTAAGTCGCTAGCTGTGTTTCTGTAATATCGGTTTCAGTGTAATCGTTTTCTCTCCTTTAAGTGTCCTTGGGCTGCCGCCTCGGTAATCTTCTGGTTACCGTTGTCATGCCTTGTAATGTTTCTACCTCTCTTAATGAAATACGTGCTGAGGTACGGTGGCGAAAAAAAGTAGGGTCCAATTGTTTTATCCATACATCGAGAATGTGTTTCACACAATTTGGTGGTTGTAAACCAAATGCAAATTAATCTATCATCAAAATAGATCTTGCAACATTACAATCAAACATCAAGTGTTGGATGGTTTCTTCATTGCTAAAAAACAACAATTTTCATCACATTTCCAATTTCTCTGTAGGAGATTCTCTTTTGTCAAATTGACTCTGTTGATTAAGAACCAAACAAATATCTTAAATTTTAGGGGTAACTTCAGCTTCCAGATCGATCTATTTAAAGCATTACAATTTGGTTGACTAAAAGCTTATACATAGATTGTACCGTAAACACCTCTTGGATCATAAGGCTCCATTTGATAGAATCAAGTTGGTCATCGAATTACACAAATGGTACTTTTGTAGCTAACTCATTCCATTGTTTGCAGTTTATACTCCACTGGGGCTCTGTGAATATTAAGTGGTGTAGTACTAAACGTCTAAACGTCTTAGGCACTGCCGTATGTTTATCCACTGGGGCTCTGTGAATATTAAGTGTTGTAGTACTAAACGTCTAAACGTCTAGCCACTGCCGTATGTTTATTTCTTGCAGTAATGTATAAAAATGGATATTTTTCTTTTAGGGGCCGTTTAGATCCTTTTATTTTAGAGAAATAGATTAGACTATTTGACTTGGAATTTGATATCCCACAACTTTTTTAAGTTTATATATAAGCTTGTATCAAATTCATAGGAATGAGTTAGCTATGTTTCTACTCGATAACTTATAGCACGCTCTACAAATGCAGCATATAATTATCTCCCTTATATGGCTAACAATTTTTTTTTCGAGAACGTGCTTAGCACGTGTTTCATTAAGAAGAAGTTAGAAGGTTTACACGTCCAAAATCACGTCACGGCGAGGTACCATGAGCGATGGGTTGAACACGAACACAAGGCACCGCAAGACGGTGGAACGCACGCTGTTGTAACTAACTAAGAAACTAAATGTGCGACCGACGGGCTTGCGATGTTGAAAGAACCCGTGCTCAAGGCACCTGCGCCGCTGCCTGCCTCCCGCGAGCACCAGCCATGGTGAAGAACTCCCACATTGCCTCACGCTTGGACGACGACAACAGCTCTTGGAACGTCTCTTGGAACCGAGTGGCGATGGTTGCGTCAAGCGTCGCCGGCGCTGACCGTGGGGCGCTTGTTGATAGCTGCCATTTGCTGAGCATGACCCGCTTGGCCTGCTTCTCTGGGTTCGGGTCGCGGTAGACGGACTTGGAAGCAAGTCTATCACTGGGGCGCGGCACCAGGTTCTTGACCCGCACGCGCGAGACATGAAGGCGCGGCGGCGACTGGATCAGCGGCTTCTCGAGCGGCAGCTTTAGAACGGCGATGAAGTCCTCGACAGAGGTTGGTTGGACTATAGGCGAGGCTGCAACAGAAGGAGGAGGGTTCGTCCCATGTACCAACGTATATGGGCCGTCGTCGGTGGGCCGAGCGGGCTGCCCATCATGGGCGTCATCGTAGGCCCTGATGGAGAGTTGTTGAGGCTGCGCTTCATGGGCTTGGCTGGTAGCCCCGACGGAAAGCTGTTGAGGCAGCAAATGGGCACCAATCGGAGTATCCCCGTGATTCGCGGACATGACTATGGGCCATACCATGAGCTCATGCGCGTCGGCCACCAGCCCCGATGCCCAGGACGCCTGCGGAGGGCTACTTTGCAGCGCCATGTCCGGCTCCAAGACCTATAGCAGGTGCTCCGAGGCCACGGGCTTTGGGTGATCGTGAACAGTGGCCTCCAAGTTAGAGACAAAAAGCATCGGATCTATCCGTGGGGCGGCGATTGAGGCTGCGACATAATTTGAAATTCAAACTCTTGGGAGGCCTCGGGCGCCTGGTAGGGGGAAGACGACACCAGACGTGATGAGGGTTGGTGACATTGCACACCCTTCAGTAGTAGGCACTGCCCGCGTGGCCTAGACGACGAGGGATCGATACCCGGTTGGGCCAGGCAAAGAATCTCTCCCACAAGGACAGGTGGCGCTTGCTGGAAACATTAGGCCCCACCAAGGCTCAAGCTGCAGCTCTGGTGCTCGCCGGCGTCCTGGCCATCGCCGCCGTTGTCGTCCATGTCACCATCGCGATCAAGGCGTTGTCGGTGCGAGTGTGAACCAAAGCGACCATGGTTGGCACTAGCAGCACGACGGCGAGGACCACGCCTTGGAGGCTCCCGCACCCTATCTGAGGAAAGGCGTGGGGGTGAATGGTCGTGCTTGCAGTTCCTCGTCCGGTGCTCCATGTTGAGGCAGAAAAGGCAGCGGGATGGGAAGGCGCACCGGGCGATGATGTGGTCCCCAGCCAGACAGTTGAAACAG